ACTCATCGACTCACTAGCATCACGCATCATCACCTAAGTGCTAATACTTGCGTTAAGCTCAGGGTCAAGCAAGGGGTGTGGCACACGATCGCTGGTTACGACCCCCCCCCCCTGATTGCTGTCTTAATAAACCTCCCCCCTGAACTATATACCTAAGATAGCATTACCAGAGTTGAGAAAGAGGTCAGGCACAAGTCTTTCGACCCCCCCCCCCTCCAATGAAAGCCCTCAAACGACCCCTTCTTCCTCCTCTTAACCTCTGAACCTCAAAGTGTGACATTCTGGAGGACGCCATCTTTTTCTAGAGAGTTTTCAGATTTCTGAGAGCTGTACGCCCGATTTTCTGTGACTGCACTTTACAATCACACGTAATTTGACGGCTGATTTTGATCTGAATGGGCATATTGAAAGGACCATAATTTTCTTATGGGTGGGGCGTTCGGCTCCGAATTTTCAAAGTAGCAAGAAGAAGCTATGTGCTCAATAAACGTACCAGCAATGGAGCGCTTTCTGGATTTTGAAGGCAAGTTAAGGGGGTGCGGCACACCCCCACAAAAGCTGCGGCAGCCGCAGCTTTTGAGGGGGTGTGCCGCACCCCATTAACTATATCAAAAAAACATTTTTAGCGGACAGTAATTATATAAATCGATAGCCTAAAACTTGTGGATTCCATAGGACTGTTTGGAGCCTGATTTGTCTTCTTAGCTCTAACGGGGAAGACTTCCCAAGTCAGCTCGGCCAACCCGGATGAGTCATATATCACCGTAACGGGCTTGAAACGCTGATTCCAAATCTGCTTTCCTTTCCTGCGGAGCGATTTTCCGAGAGAAGTTATGAGCGTTTAAAAGTCTAAATTTTTTCATGTTTTAAGTGGCTTAAAATTAGCGGAACCTGTACAATAACACATGAAAATGATTTATCAGTTTTGTATCGAGTATATTGATCACAAGGACGAAACCCAGGTAATGAAATTCTGTTGGTGTTGTTTTACAGCTTTGAACTAATTTTAAGCCACTTTGAACATGACAAATTTAGACATTTAAACGCTCATAACTTCCCACGAAAAGTTGCTCCGCAGAAAAGGAAAGCAGATTTGGAATCAGCGTTGCAAGCCCGTTACGGTGATATATGACTCATCCGGGTTGGCCGAGCTGACTTGGGAACTTTCCCTTGTAAGTAATATTTGGTGAAAGCACAGCGATCAAAAGCGAAAAATGGGAAAACGAGATTTTTGTTGGCTTCTAATTCCACAGTTTGCAGGTCTTCTGAAGCGGGATTCCTGAGGTGGACAAAGAAGGAGTAGTGCTTTGTCTTGAGTGCAAAAATGGATAGCTAGTTCGCCTTTGAAACAAAGTTAACCATGTTGGAATTTGACCATTTCACTTAGGTAGCCTAGTATCTTGAATCTTCAGAATTCGCTCACACTTTGTCTACAGGAGTTATTTGACATGCTAATTATGGATAGGATACGAATATCATATTATCACTATTATCAGATTACCCAACTACGACCCCCTCCCCTTTTGACTCCTCAATACGACCCCCCAGGTGTCTCGTGCCGCACCCCACGCTTGACCCTGGTTAAGCTTCTTTTCAATGAGAAATGATTGATTTGTGTTATTTTGATATCTCAGCGCCTTTTTCTTGCCGATTTTCGTCTACAGGCAGTCTTTCTGTGTTCATTAGTATGCCAATTTTGCGCAGGGAAAAGCCCAGAACTCGCTTCGGAATGGCGCGCGGCAGCTAGGAATAAAGTACTTGGAATCAGAGTTTAGAGCTGGCACAGCATATCTGTGTCCCTTGCCGGAATGCCGAGCTAAGTTAGGCAGTTTTCCTCATTAGTCATACGGCGGTTCCTTATGTGCATGGCAGATCAGTGTCCTGTCATCGTGTCTCGGTTGTAAACAGAGTCAATTCATTTTATTACGCAAGAAGAATTAGCTTATCTCACAAGGAGGGGATACTTAGATACTTAGTCGAAAGCACCAATCTGGATGAGACATATATCATCTTAAATCGTTTCAAACGCTGATTCCAAGTCTGTAATTTCTAGCTGCGGAGGGGTTGTGTAGAAGGAGTTATGAGGGTTGTTCCCCTCTGGGGTTGAGGCGCCCTCCAGCGGTCTCCCCTTATCTATGAGCACTGCAGAGGAGTATCAGCTGGTGGTAACCGGCCTAATGGTAAGTAACTTGAATGAAGATTACAATAAGGATCATAATACTCGTATTACTTCGGTTTTTCTAACACTTCTAACTTCGATTAGCATCAATACCATCAGAAATTTTAGGCTTCAGATCTCTGAAGCCATTTAGAAGCTCATTTTAGCGAAAACTGCGATACAGTTGCATGCGAAAGGGATTAGAAGCTTGACACTCTCATTATCAAGCAAGTCACTTACCATTAGGCCACTTACCACCAGTTGGTACTCCTCTACAGTGCTCATAGGTCGGGGGAGACCTGGTTGAGGGCGCGTCAACCCCAGAGGGAAACAACCCTCATAACTCCCTCTACAAAACCGTTCCGCAGCTGGAAACCTTAGATTTGAAATCAGCGTTTCAAGCGCTTCAAGATGATGTATGTCTCATCTGGATTGGTGCTTTCGACTAAGTATCCTCTCCTTGTCAGAAACAAGGCAACGACGTTCAAGAACGATCATCACTGCCAATATTTGGAAACTTCAAAGTACTGAAACTTGGTCCAAAGAGGTTATTTAACATACTAGTCAAAATTCTTATAGTACTTAACAGAGCCTCTTTGTCAAGCTTTCGGTAGGTAAGCGGTATTTCAGAAGGGTCTTATTGAGACGCAATACAGAGGGCGAGGGAGGAGGGGGGGGGGCAACAGGCGGTCGTGCGTCTTACCTTTTGCTCGAACATGGCTGTAAATAAGGCATTTGTTTGGTGGGGAAGAACTTTGAAGTTTTGTATTGTGCGAGATCCTGCTAGAGCATATAAATAATTTTGTCCTGAATTGTTCGAATCGGTGAGGATGCGCGGATAAACAATCTTTGATGTGGGTTGGGTTCTATCGTATTTCTCGTCAACTTATCGGGGTTGCGCCTAGAATTCGCTAAAAATGTACACCCCCTTCGCTTTCTCTTCGAAAAATAGTATCCAGCTCGATCCGTTACAGCTATACGCTATAATGAAGTTCACAGCAATTCCAAGCTTGAAAGCAGGTATGGGACAAGACCCGGCACGAGTCAGTCTCTAAGGCGTCTGAAGAAGTCTCCCTGGCTGTCAAAATGACCCACCCCGGATACTTATCGACTTAGGAGAAGATAGAACAAAAAACAGTTACTAGTTTGCTGAACTATGCATGTGCAAGAGTTTGGCATTGGAGCGCGATTAGCAAAACGATTCGTGAAAAAAGAAACAAAGGGAAAGCAGCGTGAAAGTGTCTCCAAGCTTAGGGAGAGACTGTTGATCGGGGATTCTGTCCCCAACAGAAAATTTTAAAACTTATGTGAACTACAAATATTAGCTCCATTTGATCTCAAATGGCCGTCTAAAGGCAGACTAAATTTTAAAAGATATTACTTCGGAAAAGTTTTCAAAACTTTTTTTACATAATTTTTCCGTCAGTAATAATCTATGCCTACAGTCCACATTCAGTGTCGCACTGCAGACATGCAAGTCTTTAATTGTGACTCTGCTTTCAAATAGTGTGCGCTTTCCGCAAGACACAATGGAGCACGCCCATCGTGTAATAACCTGTTTGTCCTGTCTTTAAGACTGAGTTTGTACTATCCGGAAGTTAGGGAGCACTTCCAGCACGTTTCGAGAACTCTGCTGGAACTGCGTCGGAATTGTGCTGCATGGGCCGCTTTCTCTTATAATGAGGAAAGTCTCAATTTTGAAGCAAGAATGGAGAATGAATGCCGTTTCGCTTTCAAGTAGTCAAGGGAAATGTGTCTCTTTGCTTGTCGCCTGTCTTGCGCTAGGGCATGCAAAAATTCCCAAAATGCGAAAAAAAACTTTTCTTTAGTATACTGATTAGCTCGATTCTAGGCATTCTCATCCTCTTTCCTTCTTCCATATCATTGCTTATCTATTTTCTCTTCCACACGCTTCTCCTTGTGACCAGAAAAGCTGAAAACCTAAAGCCGGGCTGAAGAATAATTGCTGCTCTGGGAAGAGCGGTCTTCGTGCATCATCCATCTCTTTGTTATTTTTGTTTAGACGCACATCATTTGTGCTAAAAAGCTGTCTTTGTCCCGTGCAATACAGATGCAGAATTATGTAGTGGCTCCCTGGAACACAGCAGCACGCTTCACGATTAACGCTCTTTTTAACCAAAATGGGAAGGGAACAGAAGAATGAGACCGAAATGGAAAAACCGTTGAGAATGGTCAAAAAATCTCTAACTCCCGCCTCTCAAAATTGTGTGCGGATGGGTGCAGCGCAGCAGCACAGTCCGGGATCCAGCGCAGTTTCAGAACTGTGCTGAAGCTGTTCCAAAATTTCCGGATCAGTATGAACCCAACCTGAAGATTGTGCTTGACTGATTGGTCGTTTTCGGCAGTGCAGAAAAAGTGGTGAATTGTCTTGCGTATTGTGTGCAGTCTTCCTCCACGTACTTCGCTAGTAATGCCACTACACAATTTTGCCCCGAGTCTGCTCCTGACCGCGCAAAAACGATATCCTCTTTGCTCGCCACGCTTGAACAACTACTTCAGGCCTAAAGCATACTTCCTGTGATTCTCTCGAATCGCTAAATTTACGCTACTTATCGATTTGCCAGATGTCTACAGATTAAGTGTGCGCGGGTTTCGAACGCATAGGCGCGCAATACTTAATTTGTAGCAAAAACACCAAGTCCGGGCCAAGCAAAACGCATGCGTCCTTTGAGAACATTTTCTTCTATGGCAGATTTACGTAGTCGACATCTTTCTGCGCTATAATTATTGAATAAAAAGTAACTGCAAATTTTCGCACTACAAAGGAAGAACAGACCCACTGCATTCAATTATTTAAGCGGTAGGTCTTTCTCACTTTTCAATGGTACAAATTGTGGAATACCAAAACTGGCAGTTTTTGCAACCCGACAAATTGCCAAAGAGGTACTTTCAACAGCTTACAATATTTTCTCTTGAAAGAGTTTTCACAAAATGTGCATGGCGAAACCACTTATCAGAACTTTGACGGCACAGCGAGCAGCTGTGCTCTAACCGACTAAATTTTGGAGTATATTATGGTCTCTCGAAGTAGAAAAGTTTGTCCGATAATAGTAGTACAAAAGCATATGCTGTTTAGTCCAAGTGTGGCGCTTTACAATAGCCTTTGATGCGTTCAGAAATAATAGTAAATCAACATAATCTATGATAGCATAGCTTTTTACGCAAATGCAATACTCAGTTAGGGAGCTTCCTGACCGCGCTGATTGCCGCTCTTGCACTTGTTTGTCGCAGCTTGCGCCGGTTGCCGCTTTTGCAGTCGAAGCGCAGTGGGTGAAATTATCGCACAGCGCAGAATATCACTACTCAATCTTTTTTTATAGTTTTTCTGCAATCCTTTGCTCGATTTCTCTGTTATAGGGTGGTTTCGAGGTACAACTTCTCGAATAATGGTTTCCCCAAAACTTGATACATCGCCGTTGAGGGCAGGATGCGCGAAGTGTCGTCTAGATTCAACTAGAGTTTACGAACTGAACTGTTCCTTATGTTTTCTCCTCAGTTTTCACTAGCTCAAGTTTTATGCTTTTCATGAGTGGTGTGGTTTCAAAAGCTACTGATAAGGATGCAATGCTGAGGAGCATTTGTGCAAACCTATTAGTGATGCATGGACGTAAGCATAGAAAAACCTCACCCGCGACAAATGTGAAACGTAAACGTGAAGGGTTTACCTACTTGTAATGTTGGTCTCCATTTCCTTTTTAATTTTTGTGTTTCGTTTAAATTTCACAATTGCTGTAGACGATGCGGTCTTTTCAAGCCCACGTCTATGCATCATCATGAATTTGCTCAAATGCTCTTGTCGCATCCAGTTTTTCGAACCACATCATTACGAAAAGCATAAAATTGGAGCTCAGTGATAATAGAAAAAAAGACGAAGAACAGTCTACTTTCTCCAGCTGAATGTAGGTGATACTTAGCCATCTGCCGCACCTTAAAGGCAATGTTTCAAGCCTTGAAGCTACCATTATCTAAATAGTTGCACCTCGAAGCCAACTAAGCAAAGAGAGAAAGGCCATGTAAAGCGTATATGTCAAGAATAACTATAGCTAGCAGGCACCCTGAGTGTCAATAAACGGCGTACAGGTACTGCAGCAGCGGACGAGCTCACGTGGCACTTCATTTCGTAGCAATAAATGGCTCAAGCTTTGTTATTCCTTATTCATGCCTTATGTTAAGGCTTTTGCTAATTTTTTAGGGATAGAAATAAACAGCAATTCCATCGCTATAAACACGTAGTGTTTAGTGTTTTAAGCTTGATTCAGCATGTAAAATATGTAAGCTTTTATGATTGATGTAGGAAAAAACTTTGATGAAAAAAGTTGAATTTTGAGTCATTTTTTCCTAAATTTCATGAACGAGTAAGGGCGGTCTGCTCTCTTTTGTTCCGCGCCAGATGACAGCTAGCGGCTAGCAAAGCTATCGGTATTCTTACCTTTACTAGAAGACTGAATCGATCAATGAGTTTGTTTGCGCGGGGCACGTGCGCCAGCGACAACGGCTTGACCCAATGCGCTTCGCTGCAAAAGCGGTCCGGCGTGAGAGCGGCTAACAGGTGCAATCGGCGCGGTATGGAGGCACCCCCAGGTTTTGATATGCTAGTTTGACACGAAACTCTTTCCGCACCAATTGCTATGGCACCTAGGCAGATACAGAAAAGTGAAGAAGTGCAATTTGATAAAGCAAAGCAGAAAATGAAGAATCTGCCGGTTCCCTGCCTCGGTTTATACTAGCCCTGCGTACTAGCTCTAGCATGAGAGCAAAAGATCTGTAACTGCTTTTCGGCTAATAAATCAAAAGAAGAGTCCGGACGAAATACTCGTTCAAATTTTTGATGCGATTTAATAGGTCTCTCCTCAATTAAACCCGTATGCACCAACATCCCCGCGTTGGCTTCTTATTGTTGGGAAGCGGCCTCCCATTGATGAAAAAGCAACGGCGTTCGCGCTCGACTTTATAACGAGTCCCATCTTTTGACGCAGGGATGTTAGTGCAACGGGCCTAAAGCAGATTATCGGGTCCGCTCGGAAGAATGCGACTTTTGAAACCTCAAATACGCCCGCTCCTTCTTTTCTTTCTGCTCTCAAACGTCTACGCAAGCGAGTTCAAAGGTTTCGCGAGTAGCTTTCACCTTGCTCTTGCAAGGTGTCTCTCAGTAAAGTATGTTTGCACGTGCACCCGCAAAAATCAGCATGGTGCCTGCACTTGTCAAAACACAGTTTTCAAAACCGGGTTTTCGGTGCTCTTAAGCTATGAACTTTGTGAAAAAAGGCCATGGAAGGCACGAGAATGACAATGAACATGAAAGTTAAATATATCACTAAGCGCGTGTTCAAAAGTTATTCTAAGTTTTTTTGCCTGTTTGCGAAACACTACTCCAAAAAAACTTATGAGCGTTTGAACGTCCAAATATGTCAAGCTTCAAATGGCATAAAATTAGCAAAAGCCTTGCAAAAACAACTGAAAATGGGTAATCAATTTTGTATCAGGCATATTGACTACGAGGAAAAAGCAGAGCTAGTGGTAATTTTATGACAATTAAAATTAGAAGAATTTGAACATTCGAACGCTATAACTTTTTCTTTCCGCTATATAACCTGAAGTGAACAATGAACAGTGGCAGTGAACAAGGTGCACTTCAATAGGTTTTACCATCTCCAACTGGCTGTCCAATTTTTTCAGATTATTTTGCAAATCTAACCAATTTTATGCCCGGCCAAACTATAAATGCGATAAGTGGAGAAATTTCTCGGACCCCTTTTACCAAAGGCAGTGGATCGGCAAAACTTGAAAACTAAATATCTTAACCCAGTAGGTTCCTTATCGTCCAACTATGAAAACATTGCAAACACGGTTGCACAGCATGCCTTCACTGGAAAATCGTTCTCAAATTTACACGCGCAAGCCAGTCTTACACGCACCCGGACGAGTTAGCAACATTGTTATAATTATTCCTGCAACGATTCAGCGTCATCAGCCTTCCTCCACTTGTCCAATTTTAAAGGGAAGGGGGTTGGAAAACGCTCATTTTCACCGTTTTCGAGCTCTCTAAAGTGAATTTTCGTGATCAGCATATCGAATAACCCCTAGGTAAGCGGAAATTTGACTAGGTTGAGATTTGCCGAGCCACTGCCTCTAAGGGCCGGCACCTGGCTGACCCCTTTCACCTGAGGTTGAGACTAGAGTTAAGGCGCAACTGCAGAATCAAACAGCTGTTACAACGGCACTTTTTGTTTGAAAAGGAAACGCCGGCTGCTTTTCTCCTCAGACATCAAAACTGCAAGAGTATAGCGAAGCAACAGCGTTTTGTTGAAAAACGCATGCTTGAAACTTTGTGCGCAATCAAAGTGGCTTGATAACATAATCAAAAATTAAAAAGACATCTGATTCTTTGAATATTTAACATTGTGTCAATGAATACCCACTGTCGCAAGGAAGAGTTGAGCAAGAGTAGAAAATCTGGACTATCTAGTGATGGATGCGTGTTTATTGACAAGAATCGTACCATATCTCCTTTCATTACAGAGATTAATAACAATCAAAAGATAGATTACTCGTTTCTCAAGGTTTCAAAACCTATATAAAAGTTCGAAAAGACCTTCTTAGTTTGAAAAGATAATTAATCAGAATTGGCTCATTTTCTAGCTAGATGAAACTGCTCGTATCTCGCTTCTCAAAAAAGCTAAGAAAAAAGAAACGGTCTACGTCGATTCTCCATGTTCATAGCTATCGAATGGTATAAACGTTTGTGCACAAAGCTTTCCCAGTCCAAAAAAGTCTTGCTCCGGCGACCCATAAAAAACAAGAGCGGGGTGGAGCAAGTCAATACTAAATATCTCCACCTCATTCTTGAAAAACCACGAGTTTTTTCACCCAACAACCTACAAACCTTTAGAAAGCTCACGAAACAGGGATTCGACGTAGGCCGTCTCTTTTTCTCTAACTACTCTCTACTCACATGGTATTTCTAAAAACATGTGTGTTTTTGTGAAAAAGTCTTTATGCAAAGAGTGATTGAAAATGCCCAGTTATCTAACCTATTACAGAACAAAACTTCATTCAGCAAACGACCGTCTAAACAGTCTTTTTTTCTAGGTTTCCTTTTCTTTCAGAAATGGAGCTCAAAGTGATTACATAAATCAGCTGATGCTGGAGCCAAATATGATTTTTCATATCTGAATTCACAGGAGAGTTGGAAAAAACGGACGGTCTATGTCGATTCTGTATGTTCCAAGCTTTCGAATCGTATGTCTACTGATGAAACTTAAAGCAGTTTTCTTCAGTCAAAAATGTCTCTTTTGGATGAACTTCCAAAGTCTAAGCATTGAGGAATTCATTACGTTGCACCTCTGTACCACTTATTTTCCTTCTTTTCACTCCAGCCGTTGGCCACGTAGGCTTGCGTCAACATTCATCTCAGGCCTAGTTATAGTCGTCCTCACCCCACTGACCGCGACAAAGTGTGGGAGACGCCGCGCCTCAGCCAACCGCTTGCAAGAGCTTTTTATTTATTTATTTATTTTACACACGAAGGTGCACCGTAAGAACGAAAAAAAAAGACGAAAGAGACGAAATTCCGCAAATATTTGAGATAGTCCCTTGCTGGTATCATCATGTCGTTTTCCTTCTTTCGAGGGTGGGTAAGTCCCCTACCGAAATCCTTTTCCCTTGTCCAAACGCAATTTCTGGCATAGACTACCAGGGCTCGGCTGACCGACTTAACTCGGGGCGGACGAATCCGTCAGAGACCCTGGGCGAGTGGCAGGGGGATTTCAAGGTAGGGGGTCCACCGACTTCGGAGTTCCTCAAACGGCTAATCCCTGCGAAGAGACTTCTATACCGGTGCTGTCAAGATAGGTGAAGCAAAAATTCACTGAAAAGCACATCAT